GTGTTGTAGCGTTCAGGTCAAACGTTTGTCGCGGGAGGAACGTTTGTGTTTGCTCTTGATTTGCTTTCTTCTGGGCGTGACATCACTAAAAAGTAGATGCAATGGATTCTGACGAGGATTTAGCAAGAAAACTGCAAGCTCAGGTATTTCATTGTTTGTTTGCGGGAAAATGAGATGTTGTTTATTGGGTCAACTCATGAATTGTACTTTGCCACGATAATTCATGGTGGAATATTTGTTACTTGCTTTTTGAATATCCACAGGACCTACGGGTTATTTTTGACTGATGCGTCATTTTGTGGGAAATAAATGTACGATAGATGATGACCATCCAATGAAACATTTGATAATATATTGTATCTCGTTTCAACCGAAAATAAATTGTAGTTGAAAGTTGAGGTTGATATTCTCATTTAATTTCTATTGCATATATTTCGTGATATTTTCTAATACTTCCACACAATGGATCACGACAATGTTGATATCATTGGATTTCTCTCACTGTCTACAATGCAAATATGTAGGTTTTACTGTGCGGACCCCCAACCTCCACATTCTTGGCCCTGATAGCATGGGAGGCATGAAAGGTACTAGGGAAAATCGGGATAAGATGTAAATGATATATACAGAATCAGTCACTATATTATGTAACGCAGCCAAGGAAAACAGAGTCCACCACATATTCATGGTGGGAGAGAGTAGTCTTGGCAATGCTGCTCTCGCATGGTGGTTTTACACTCTCTCCTGCTGTGAATACATGGATTCTTTGTTTCCCTGGGATGGGGGTGGGGGTGTTCTGGATAATCTTGAAAATTTTCAGTGAGATATCATTGTTAGCTGAAATGTACATTAGTTATTTCTACAAAGTAATTATACCTAACAGGATATACTGGTTACTGTTTTAAGTATCAAGTAATGAGCATAACAGTATTTATACTACAGTTTTTTTGCTTTGGCATCATAATTGCCCCTCTAGCTAGAATGAAACACAAACATAGCAACTGTCACTGTGTCATACTAGGAATGGAATTTCATCTCGGTGAATCTTGAGGCCAGGGGAGTGTCCCAGTCTTTTTGGGAATCATATCTCGAGATAGACATGACTAGTGTCTCATTCTCTCTTGCTCTTTAATTTTTTGCAAAAGTACGGATTACAAATTCTTTCCTTTTTTTTTTCAGTTTGATGAAGAGGAAAGATTAGCAAGGGAGCAAGAACACGAAGATGCAATCCTTGCCCAGAACTTAGCATCGCAGTCACATGATATGTCTGAGAGTGATGAGGATGTGGTGGAAGTGAACAGGAATGAGGAAGTACCAGTGCGTGAATTGGTAGATTTAGACAGTGATGTTGAAGATGTCGAAAAGGAAGAGGAGTCTTCCTTGCAGATGATAGGTATGTGTTACTGTTATCTCTACAGATAGATAGATAGACAGAGGGATAGATTGATAGATAGAAATTTAGATAGATGGATAGGTAGACAGTTAGATGGATGAACAGATTTACTTATATCTGTTTTTCTACTTTTATGAAAGCCTTGCATTTGTGTTTGTTGCACAAATGGAATGCCAGATGTAGAAATAACTAGTGTAGTTCAGAGAGTTTTTAGAAACTGTACACTGACATTGTTATTTAAAGATAAATAGAACATAAACTTTAATGTGTATAAATACTAGGTGTAGTATATATTGATAAAGAAGAATTAGGGATCAAAGCCATCATGAAGCAATGACAATAATAGTCTTGTATTAAGTAATTGATAATGTTTTTTGCTAGTGAACATTGCAGATTCATATCTCTTTGTACTCTCTTTGGTTCTTTTGATATGTATTCAGCTGGAGCTGTTTCTAGTAAATTTTAAGAATATATTTTTCATGCCAGTGTTATAGAGTATACATTTCTCAAATGTTTGCCTCTCTCTTCTCATAGGTTCAACATCCAAGACTGTTCCTCAGCACACCATATCAGACGATGAAACAGACATTGAGGATTTGGAAGCTGAATCACATTCTAATGTTACAGAGAAGCTACAGAAATCTCAGAGTAAAGGTGAAATATGGATTGTTTGATTGCATTGACTAAAAGTATAATAAGGATTTCATCATGAGTGTAATGTAATTCTTTCTACAAACAATCATAACATATGTTCACACTATTTTTTCAATGTGATCTAGGAATACTGATATTATATCTATGTTGTCAGTTGCTCTTATGGTGTCATACAGATAATCAACTTACTATTTTTTAATTTATTCATTCTAAAAAACTAAACTCTTGAATTTCCTTTCCATGTCATTAGTTTTAATTTTCTGTTTTGTGCAGTTTCTAGTAATTCTTTTTCTTTCATATTTATTGGATATATGAATATTTAAGACAAAACACAAGGAAGTCCAATTTTTTATAAAAGTGATTGATTATTAAAATTTTATTGTCCAGAATCTCCACCAGAGAAAGCACTTGTACCTGAACACACCTTATCAGATGATGAAACAGATATAGAAGACTTTGAAGTTGCAACTGAAACTCCAAAGAAGTTAAACAAAGTGGAAAATGACCAGGTGGATTCAACAGTTACAGAGAAGCAAACAGGTGCTAAAAAGTTTATAAAAAGTTTATAAAAGTGTAAAATGTTTAAAAGAGGACGAGAATGTATGTGATATGATATAGATAGAGAGAGGATAGATTTCTATAGATAGATAGAAATGGGGAAATAGATTTAAGAGTTAGACAGACAAGAGATATTACAGGTTATGCTAACATACATGCCCATAGAGAGAGAATGAGTGAATGTGTGAATCAGTGAATGAATGAGTGAGTGAGTTCAAACTCATTTCAAATTTCAAATACTATATACTGTTAGTTACAAAAGAAAGAGATTTATATGAATTATTCTTTTTCTTCCTAATATTATTGTTATGTCTGCATTTGAAATTAACTGTAGGGCAAAACTGGTGTAGGCTGTGGGATTTATAAGGAACTCACAAACACTAGCATCCATTATACTTCATATAATCTACCTATCCTATTCTATATATATATTTTGGTTACAAGTTGTTTTTTCACTCAGATTCTCTAACAAAGAAGAGATCGGAGCACAGTATTTCTGATGATGATGATGCTGATACAGAAGAATTAGTTGCGCAAGGTGAAGTGGCCCAACCGCCCAAGACAGAGAAAGAGAATGAGAAGAAATTGTCATCGTCTGGCAACCAATCGACTCCCTTGAGGAAAGGTAAAACGTTTACCTAGCCGATATTAATATGTAGTGTAAAGGGTGTCAGTAGAAACGTAAAACAATATCTGCAGTATTTAGGTACTAATTGTTTGCAGTGCAGTGGGTTGCACAACATTCATAAGTAAAAATATAGAAAAGTAAATATTGATATATTGTACATAGTTTTATATGAGATTATTAAAATTGTCAACTTTTTTCCTTCTGTTGCTGCAGATGGTTCTATAGAAAAGGCAAATTCTTCAAAGAAAAGGCCTCTATGCAAATTTGGTGCTGATTGTTATCGCAAGAATCCATGGCACTTGGAGGAGTTTTATCACCCACATTTAGAGGACAAGGATGATACCGGAGCTAAGAGGAAGTCAGGTATAAGAAATTGTAATAAGGGTTTGGTAAAAGGAATCTTTGAGGGTGAAAAGACAATGTGATAGACCTCAGATGTCATTCTGTATGCTATGGATGAAGGAAAATCTGCTGCAATTAAATAGTTGATATTTGTGTAACCACTGATCTTTATCTTTAGTTGATTGGAAAAAATTTTAATCATATTCATTGTGATGAATGTAGAAAAGGCATGAACGAGAATGAATATTTCACAATACAAAATACATGTATTTCTGACAAAGATATTTGAAACTGGTTAAATATATATTTTGTATTGTGAAGATATTCCTTCTCATTCATATCTTTTCTACATAATGGAAAAGTATTACAATTCTCTTATACTCCTTTGCTCAATTTGATAGAATCATCAAACAGCACTTCAGAGCCAGCTGAGAAACGAAGAAGGGAAACAGATTCAGGGAGCAGCATGAGGAAGGGTTCAGCTTCTAACAAAAAGTAGGTGAGGGGCTTTTCCTTGCTGAAATATACCCCTTGAATTGTTCACAAGATACTGGTTCATTAGAGACTTATAATGCATTCAGGTATAGAAGATCTAAAGTGTCTTTGGATCCAAAATAAGCAACATTTTTCTTAAAGTTGGTTTTGTTTTGTTGGGAGGTCACAAAAACTGGAATAGATATGATACTTGTCTAATTTATAGAAGGATGCCATATAAAAACCCATGCGATGATAGTTCTTGGCCTCATAAATCTGAATCTACCGAGATGGTAGTTGAGGCCTTCTCTAAGTACCTGATAATTGTAGGCAATTTTACAGTCATACAAGGATTTTCACTGGGTGATTTGCAGGTATAGTAATGAATCTAAAATCGGGATTAATGATTAGGGAAAGCAATGCAGAGAAAGATTTGCAATCAAGTGTCCTTTCTCAGCATGACCTTCCCAGCACGCCTTGCAGCCAGCAGCCCTTTCAACTTTTTCGTGAACAAGAGTTACAGCGTAAAGGAGACTCATGAAGACCCACTGAGCCTTGTCTTTCCTGACCTCCTCCATCCCAAACTGGGTGAAATCGTTGAATCTGTACAGGTGGGTGTTAAGATGCATAGGTGTGAACCAGTAACCCATTGGCTACTGTAGTATTGTTTTGCCATTTTCGTTTACACATAGATGGCTTCACAAGAACTTAGTCACCAAGGAGGCAGTCTTTAGGCTTATCTGACTGTACCTGTTTCTGCTATTTCTTGATTTTTTTGGTAAAAAGATCTCATTTCTGATATTATGTAAACAGGTCAGATCAGGTAGACCTAGTAATTGTCTTCTTGGTGACTAACCCTAAGCAAGTCTGGGGTCATTTGAATTGAAAATTAATAAACTAAAATCACAGTGACAAGATATGTATACATACCCTCCTGGTTTTAATGAGTCA